CAAGAAATTCAAAACGCAGAATCCTAGACACAGGAAGCATAAAATCAGATGAGGAGCAACTTACTCATGATTGCAGATGAAAGATGTGGAAGAACTTGAAGATTGCAGGAGAAATTGCCGAAAAAGATTAGAGTTCTTGCGAAAGGGGTATGTGAGCACATGAGCGTTCGAAATTGCAAAGGTGGAAAAACTGAGAAAATCCGCTAAGTACTGAATTTATACTTAGAGAGTTGAAGGGTTTGAAGAGCAAGACCGTTGGATTAAAACCGGATCTAACGGTGGGGAGCATTAATTAACACAACACTCAAAGCGGGCACGTTATGCGAGGAGACACTATCATTAAAGTAACTGACATATGCGGCAGACGCGACGCGTGGCAGAAAAGTAAGCACTGCAGAAAGGACGTGTGACAGGTGACCCTATCCCTGGCAATTAATGAGGTATTATTTGAAAAAATAAATGAAAAATCCACCAGATGGTCGATATCGGACACCATGATGCCCAGGAGGTCGATAGGCACAAACTCACTCTTAGATCGAGTCATTCAGACTCGACCAGAGTGGGTGGGACTAGATGATATATGATATTATCTCCACAAGGTTAAACCGGTAAATAGACCAGTTAAGGAAGTCGTATTATGAGGAAGTCAAAGAAATCGAGCAGTTAACCAGTCGACCAAGCAAAGCTGTCGACTGAACTATCCTACGACCAGGTGAGCGATCGAGCAGTTCAGTCGGCCTCGACAGGCCGACCACTTCGAGGACTTAACACCACGCTGATCGACCTAGTCACAAGTGCGTGAGAGAGCCTCTAACTAAATTTCAGGAGAATATTTATCCCATGTGCAGGGGGACACGTTTCGAGAAGGCAGTGGTGGATAGCGGTAACCACCTCTGACAGCCTACCCCATGTGCAGGAGGACACGCGTCCAAAGGGGATTGGTGCAGGCGATAGTGGCGACGGCTACCTCTGACACACGCGTATGGTGTGTACGGACGGGCAGTTAGGGCAGACAGCTCATCAAATCCGGGCAGCCCTAGGTAAGGTATCTCAACCTTAAATAAAGAGGGTGAGCCTTTCTTCTTAAGACACGATCATTCTACTGCTTACTCTTGAGAATTGATTGAACATACACTGACTTAAGCTTCGGAGACTCTTCACCGGAAAACCCCTCCGGTGTGAGAGTTCTTTGTAGGTGCACGATGTTCAACCGGCGAGAAGAAAGGCGATCATTCAAGTTCCAGCCAGTTGGGAAGTTTTGTGTTACCAAGATCGATGGCATTGTGGCGGGGGTTTGTGTTCGGTTTTTCTTCGACTAAGGGATGGATTCGGTCCCTTGGACACAATTTCGAGTCCGTGGGTTTTAGTTCCAGTTAGGAGGGCGTTGCAGTTTCTGGTTCTAAGACTAGGAGAAAGATCTGGTCCGTATAGGTGGTCGACTTGGTGTGTCGTGGTCGTGGTTTGCTTGGTGCTTTCGTCTGTATACGGGAAGGGCTTTATTTTGTTTTTAGGGTGAGTTTCTGTGTAGGTTGTACTTTTTATTTGTTTCTCTGTGTTTGGGTTTATTATCCCGTTGGGATCTGTGTATTGTCTTGTTGGGAGTTGAGTTTGTGTTATTGTGGGTGTATTGTGGTGGCCTATGTTCCCGTATGAGATATCCTCCGACTAGATTCGACATTTTGCTAGTTTGTAGTTGTACTTATTTGTTCTTTTCACTTTTATGAAAGCCTATCGTTTAAAAAAAAAAAATAAAACACATCAAGCAAAGATAATTTTAATGGATACCTCACAAGATATAGTTACCCTACAAAGGATACAAAGATAAAAAGGGAAATTTCATTGTAATGCTTGACTTTTTGTTATTGTGTCACACTAGGCTTGCATTTTCAACCTTTTCATTTGAGGGCTTCAATTTTAAGTTATTCAATATAAGACATACTTTTACATTCTGCTTTTCAATTTAAGACTCCAAATCACTTTGTATTTGATATAGTTATGTAAACCACAATATTCAATTTTTTTTAAATAAATAATTATTTAAGTACTTATAATGAATAATATTAAATATATTTAGTTATTTTTTTATTATTTTTTTTCATATCTTTAGTAAAAACCTTATAAGATATTTATTTCATAATTTTCATCTATGCAAAAGCTAAATGAAATTAATTTTAAAAGTTAAAAAATATATTTTAACTTAATTTTAATCAAAATATGTGATAACCTTAAAATATAAACTAGTTAAAAAATCATTTTATTTTTTAAATAAACTTATAAAAAATATTATTTGTGAATAAAAGTTATATTTTTGAAAAAGTTAAGAATATATAAAATTAGTGTCTATAATAAAAGTATCAAATATTGTTGTGCCACGAATTCACGAGCTGCTCGACCGCTCCTCTCCCAACTGGGTTACGCCTTTTTGATCGCTCCGCCCCGGTCCTCGTGCTTCCCGATTTTTCCCGTGCCTTCGAGTTATCCTGCGATGCGTGTACCTGCAAAACGCGCCCGAGAGTGGTCCCGACGTGAACACTCGGACGCTCAAGTCAGTAGGGTTCGAGGAGAAACAACGAGATATTAAGAAAATATATGCATGTATCTTAAAATAAAAGAATTTTTAAGTCTCGAGAGACCATTTTGTTCTCCGAGTCCTATATTTTTCAAAAATGAGAGATTTCCAAGTCCACGAAAATTCAATTAAAACCCTTAAGTCTTAATTTTGATTAAGTGTGGGTTTTATGTTAAATTTGAGTAAGTGAGATAGATTGTTGATATATATCTCACTTAATTGTAGGTGTTTGAGGAGTCGAGCATTCAACTTACTTATCTGCTATTTCGGTGTGATAATCTACTTCGATTTCCAGGTGGGTTTACTTACTAAAAACTTTCTATGTCGTATATGTGTTTCATTTATGTCGGGTTCGTATGATCTAAGTATGCGTGTAAACCATGTAGCCTATCGGCGTGAGCCGGTTCGGCCGTTAGTACGGTTGTCCCCGTCGATGTAATATGGTTACCCTTGCAAGGTAAGTCTCCCTAAGACCTAATGAAAGGCCGTGTCCGTAGCGTGGCACGTACCCCCACGAGTTAGGGTAATGAATCCTCTTTCCGTGGCTAATGAAAGGTGTGTGCACATGGCTAGTATGTTATGTTATGTTGTGAAATGGAGATGTGACAAGTAATTGATTTATATTCATACCGCGACCATACTTTCTTGACATTATTATTATTGTGGTATACGTGCATAGTGGTGAGCACTACATTTTCATTTGTGCTCATCCCCACCTGCTCTTCATGGATGCAGGTTAAGGCATGGTGGTGTGCATGACGATCGAGGGGCGAGTGGGTCGGTCATGTGTTTACTTTATTTATACTTCCGTTGAATAAGTGTGATCTTTCGAACCTCTTTATGTTTAGACATGTGAAAATTATTTTCAAAACGTATGTTTTGTTTACTTTTGATGGTTGGGAATATTTTGATGAACCCTTTATGTTGGTATTACGGATATTCGTGATTTTGGTTTTATGTGGTTTCGAGTATTCATGTTGGGAATATTGTTATGCGATGTGAATTGGGTTAATAAAAACCTTGTGAAAATGGGGTAATGAATTCTCGAGAGTCCAGATAAGACTTGGATTGAGTAAAATGTTGTTTAACACCCATGCATTTCGAAAATATTTTCGAAAATTGTTTATTTGATTTTTGGAAAGCCCATGATTTCTTTAAAATCAAAGTGGGGTGTTACAGTTTGGTTATATACCCAAGAGTCCCAACATGGTAAGACTTTAAGTCAGACAAAGTCCTTCTCCTACCCATTTCCTTGCAAGTTTATCGAATCAGAGTTTCATTCAAACTCATCGTCTTTGAATGTCCAAGAATCCCATTTCCGCACGAGTCCTGCCACCTCGGCGCCCCTTCCAATGGTAGCCCAACCATCGTCCCCTGAGCTTACCCTCAATGACGCCGAGCTACTCCCAGGAAGCCCCCCCCAGCTACTGTGGATCTCAACGCTTGAGCTGAGCTCACCCTTAATCCCCACCGGCTGATATTGTCGTCAGACTGATGGGGGTTTTGAGGTCAGCTCGGTCAGACGGGCTTGCACAGTGATCTTTCTTCAGGCGTTCTAAGTGCTTATCAAATAAATATGTAAAACTAGCTTCGTAAAAAAATTAATCCAATAGTTACATTTATGCAAAACAAATTAGCTTAAATGAATTAATTTTCTTATTAGAGTAATTTTCTAACAATATTTTTTATTTGAATTACTTTTCTTGTTAAAGTAATTTTACTACAAATATTTATAATTATTTAAAAAATAAATTTAAAAAAAGGGTATTGTACTTTATATAATTATATCAAAATACAAAGTGATTATGAGTGAGTGACTAAGCGCGAGACGAACCATAACATAAGGGGCTCATTTTGTAGAATCGCGTTACAGTCAATCCTAAAGCAACAATCGCAGTTGATGATTGATTGCAAGTGCCTCAAGACCTTTGCTAAAGGAATGTTCGATGTAATTGAGAATCCTGAAAATCAGCTCCGGGTCTTAAATTGAAAAACAAAATATAAAGTAGGTTTTATATTGAGATTAACTTAAAATTGATACCCTTAAATAAAAAAATTAAAAATTCAAGCCTTATTTTGACTAATAATAAAAAATCAAGCCACTGCAATAAAATTTCACCAAATAAAGCAACAAATATTTTGTTTTACTTCTTTTTCACCTTTTACTAATGTTGACTCCTTGAGCAAGAAAAGTTTGGGAACATTGTTTAGTACATTTACTTAAATGACCGAAATCTCCCCATCTTTACCTATGTGTTCACTTCCGATTGGCTAGAGTTTCACCGATCGGTTAAGCCCTAATTCGCTGAAACTGAAGACGGGGTTTAAGAAATCTATTTCGCCACTCCCTTAAACCCTTTTCTCTCCATTTCTATTCAATGCCGCACATAATTTCGCCGCTAAATCCGATAAACTAATTTGTATATTTGAAATGACGGCTTCGCGGCTCTCGTCGCTGGCGGCGGCGGCGGCGATGGCGGTGTCTTATTCCGCCGCTAGCAACCGCGCCTACGCAGACTCGCCCTTCCGATTTTCTCCGTTTTCTTCTTCTGCGCCATCTTCTCCGCCTCCCTCTGAGACTGGGCCTGCAGAAATTTCTGGATCGGGCACCCAGCCAGCTGTTGAGGACTCGAAACGCGGTTTTGACCCTGAATCGCTTGAAAGGGGCGCCAAGGCGCTTCGACAAATTAATAACTCTCCGCACGCAAAACAGGTGTTTTCTTGTTGTTTGAATCTTTCACGATTTCTTCCCCTCTCGGAAGTGAAAATTAGCTTTTGTTGACATTTTTTTATGTTTCTTTTGTGAAGGTTTTCGAGGTAATGAGAAAGCAGGAACAGACTAGGCTAGCGGAGTTGGATGCTGAGAAGGCGAATTTCGAGGCTATTCAAGCTCATGCTGATATTGTGAGCTGTCAACTTTCGATTTGAATCAGTTCATAGTGGAGTTTTTTCTACTAATTTTCAGCCGTCAGAATGTGTTCGAACGTATTGTAATTTAGCTCAATCTCTGAATGAATTTGAGAAGCTCAACTGGATAGCTATCTTATTTAGGTTTTTATGTATTTTTGTTCAAACATTTTTTGGCCCTGTGATGTAGCCAAGCAAATTTAGTGTTATGAGTAGTTTTAGAGTTTAAAATTTTCCGAAATTGTAAATTAGCAATCCTGTTCTTATCAAGTGAAAGGAATAGAGTTGTGGTTCTTAACTATTGTCATTTTTTATTTTCCTTTGGAAAATATTTAATTTCATATGCCATTTATGGTACTTATGTTTGCTTAGCTTGTAATATTTTGTTGCTACAATACTACGAAACAGCTTTCATTATATTATTACAAGTATGTCATGGAGCTGCATTGGTTGGTTTTTTACCTTGTCTAATTAGGGCTTGCATTTGCAGGACAAGCAGCGAAAATGGGCAGAAGATCAGAGGAATCTATATCAGCAGCAGGCTCAAGCTAAAGCACAAATGTTGAGATATGAAGATGAATTGGCTCGCAAAAGAATGCAGGTTGAGCGGCCACTCTTGTATAGGATAATTTTATATTTTGTGAACAGAATTCCATTCAGGTTTTCTTAATTGCAAAAAGTGTGACACAAATTTCTCTTGCTTGTGTTTTTGTAATGTATACTTACATTGCTTTATATTTATTTCCTTTCATATTTTCAGACTGACCATGAAGCCCAGAGGCGTCATAATGCTGAATTGGTCCAAATGCAAGAAGAGTCATCCATAAGGAAAGAACAGGCTAGGCGAGCAACTGAAGAACAGATACAGGCCCAGCAACGGCAAACAGAGAAAGAGAGAGCTGAGATAGAAAGGGAAACAATAAGGGTGAAAGCTATGGCTGAAGCTGTAGCACGGGCTCATGAAGCGAAATTGACTGAGGACCAGAACAAGAGGATGCTTTTAGACCGAATAAATGGTGAAAAAGACAAGTGGCTTGCTGCAATAAATACTACGTTTAGTCATATTGAAGGTTGGTGCCTTTGCCAAATGGTCTCATTTTCACATATTTAGCTCTGTAGGAGCGGATTGGTCATGTAGAAAAATCCCAAATATAAGTTCTTTAACGCTTAGAACAGAATCATAACTTCCCTTTACACCTTTGCTTTTCTATACACATTTTTGCTTATCTTGTCAAAAACCACTTGGGGTGCTTACAGTCAGCAGAATGTGTTTGATCAGGTTTCGCTATTGCTGTACATTACTGGAAAAAGATCTAAGGTTTCTTCTGTTCATTTTCTTCTGGAGATGTTCCATATTGGCAAACGTCAGCCAATTTCTCATTAGTCAATTTATAAGTCAGGCTTAAATTTTTCCCCAATCAAAATAACTGCACTATAGAAAGAGGGAAAGAACTGTACTCGAATCACGTAGAACTTGATTGTTTTGGTTTCTGACTTCCTGTGGAAATTTTTGTATTAGTATAAAGGATTAGTTTATTTTTCTCCATGCTTGGTAGAACCAGCCTATACTTAGTACGCTAGTGAATTAACGAGTTTCAGTATATTATGAACATTTAAGGTTCTCAAAACTTTTCTTCTAGCAGGAATTGGTCTTGTACAGTTGACTGGCTTGTCGTGATATTTCAGAATGACTTTGGTCTATGTGGATAAATTGTGAAATATTGTGGAATTAATTCTTGAACAGTTGAACTGCTAAAGTGGTAGTATCAGTGTCTAGGTTGAGATAATTTTTATATGGCAGCAGAACGATTGTGTGCAATGGACACTTATTTCTACACCCACCAATTGTATCAGACAGGGTCATGATGTTTCTCCTTTGTTTCTTTATTTTGTCTTTTCTTTTTTGCCCTCCTTTCCCTAAGCAGAAGTAAAGATTCTTTATCCCTTGCCTCTAGCAGCCAGGTTTTATGAATCATTATTATTCGGAGATCAATAAGCGCAGGCACGAATCCGCTACCTCGTTCAATCACTATGTTAATGTCGAGCCCTCTAGTAGCTGTCTGAACTGTTGCATTTGTTGTGTAGTAGCGACATTTAGTTTCACAGCCATATTTGTTTGGTTCATGCTACATAATTAGTGGCTTTCTTATCCAACTTGAAGAATATAGACATGATGGGTTATTTATCAACGTTTGCTTTTAATATGCAGGGGGATTTCGAATTTTATTGACCGACAGGAGTAAGTTGGTGATGACCGTTGGTGGAGCTACTGCACTAGCTGCTGGGGTTTATACCACTAGGTATACGCTCTGCAGCATTTCTCTTTTTTGCCTAACTAGTAACTTTGTTTTGTTTGTTTGTTTTCTAATCTAGATCTTTCTTAATGTTATAATTTTTAAAATTTTGTATTATGTGCATACCCGTGTCTGTTGACCTTCGTACCTCCTAGGTAGAATTTCATATGAAACATTTCAACTATGCCATACTTGAAATACACATACCAGTTTCAACAGCTGGCTAAAGAAAGAAAAACCGAGGCATATAGCTTCTTATACTTTTATCTGCTGTCAGGGAAGGCGCAAGAGTGATGTGGGGATACGTAAATAGGATTCTTGGCCAGCCATCTCTGATTCGGGAATCATCTATGGCGAAATTCCCATGGTCTGGGGTTGGTTCTCGAGCTGCAAATAAGCTGCTAAGGTATAGCACTGCAGCTGGGGCTGCTGCATCCATACAGAGTAAGTCTGCACTGGGGGACATCGTCTTGCATCCTTCACTGCAGAAGCGAATCGAACACCTTGCTCGAGCCACATCAAACACCAAAATCCATCAGGCACCTTTCCGAAACATGCTTTTCTACGGGCCTCCTGGTACGGGGAAAACTATGGTAGCAAGAGAGATTGCTAGAAAGTCGGTATGACTTCCTAGTCTTGCTAAGTTATTTGGTGTAAAACCAGTATATATATTCTGTTTTAGTGTTTTTTTTTACTGGTTTAGAAACTATGAAATGTCAAGATGCGTGAAGCGAAAAATACATGATAGGTGGAGCACAATAATCACTAATCCTAGATTTTTTACCAAAAAGAGAGAATAAATTTTATGTTATTTGTTCTTGCAGGGCTTGGACTATGCCCTGATGACAGGAGGAGATGTTGCGCCTTTGGGGCCCCAGGCGGTTACCAAGATACATGAGATATTTGACTGGGCCAAGAAGTCAAAGAGAGGTTTGCTACTGTTTATTGATGAGGCTGATGCTTTTCTGTGCGAGTAAGTAATTTGATTCCAACTTCCAAAGGTGCTAGATAAAAATGATCCTACGTAGCTAACTGCTCAAGGTGGTGAAAATTCATAGCACTAATATATGCCATTTTCAAAAGAAACTAGAAACTAATTAGGTATACTACTTTGATTGTTGGCAATCTTATAATGTGCTTCGGAAGTCACGACAATTCTACTTGCAAACAACCATGGCCTTCCCAAGAGTTGGTATATTATTTTAGCGACAGAAAAGCCGTTGAGCGACATAAAAGTCGTTGTTGGTCCAATCATTTTTTTTTTTTTTTTT